ACTACAGTGTAACCCGGATATAAGAGACCCGGATATAAGAGAAACCCGGATATAAGAGAGATTTTCTCTGGTCCCAAATTAGAGCCTGTGTTAATGTATAGATAATAGACCAAACCCGGATATAAGAGAAACGCGGATATAAGAGACTTCTTCTCCGGTCCCGACAACTCTCTTATATCCGGGTTACACTGTACTTTATTTTAACGTGTGTTTCTACGTATAAATTAGTACAGTGCTTCTCAAATTATTTCATATGGCGCACCGGCATTTTTTTTTCAATGTGTCACGTGCCTGTAACGTGCTAATACGTATTTATACGGGAATCGATATATTAGGTTGGTGCAAAAATAATGACGTAATAATGTCGTTTTTTGACGTATTTTTTAACGTCAAAAAACGACATTCTTACGTCATTATTTTTGAACCAACCGAATATATTATGAATATAATAAAGCCTGTGACTGGCTACAGTGAACTTGCGCAAGACACTAAGTCACGAACTGACACTGAAACAAACGTTTTTTTGAACAGGAATAAAAAACGTTTGATCCTACACTCTTTTTTATGGTTCGGTTTGTTTATTGTTTTTGTTTTTTACGGCATATCAAAACCTCAATGGGTCATTTAATGCCGACAACTTTTTTTTTCCTGGTAATATTTTTGTTTTGTCAAAAATCTATTTCTGTTAATATTTTTTTCCACAAAAATGTATAGCTGGTAATATTATTTTTTTTCAAAAACGTATAGCTGGCAGCATTATTTTTTCAAAAGAATATTATCAGAGGCTTTGCTGTTGGACGTAGTTTATCGTCTGATGTAATGAATATGCATACACCTGGGTTCCCCTTCACAGTAATATGATTGTCTGGTGTCAGCCATAAATACAGACTGATGTGGAGGTACAGGAACGACGCCTATAGTCTTCGCCTATTGCCTACCACTACGACGAGGACCAGTCCATTACGTTTACCTGCTAGATAGTCCTACTCGGTTACAGTAGTCCAAAACCTCTTTGCTACTTCGAACAAATATATCCCTTTCCGGGACATATCATCGTCATACACAGGACGCGGACGTAGTTTATCATCTTACCCAGAACGCGGATGTAGTTTATCATCTTACCCAGGACGCGGATGTAGTTTATCGTCATACCCAGAACACATACTCTTTTTTACGGTTTATAATTAATAAAAACTTATCAACATTCACCTAGATCCACATTATTATAATTGTATTGTAGCTAAATAATCTATTTCGAAAAATACCAAATTTAATCATTTATTTCAGATAACACCAAATATTTTTAATTTCAATAAAAGTTGTATCTATTGTACCAAAACCTTCATTTGAAAGCAAAAAGTACTAAGTTTAGTATGAAAGTACAAATTCTGACGGCTCTGGCGGTGTACCGTTTGGTTGGCATCTACCACTTTTTCAAATGTTTTCTTAGTCTAGACACTGGCTACGTACCGGTAGCTGATGGTTTGCGTACCGGCATTGGTCCACGGGCCACCGCTTTAAGTAGAACAGAATTAGTATAGATTCTACTAAATATAGTATGAACAGAAACATCTAGAGATCTACAAAAATAAATAAATAAAATAAAGATATCTTTTGGAATCTAAAGTAAGAAGCAACAACTTATAACTTACAAGCTGAGGAACCGACAAAATGTCTGAAAGGGAAATAAAAAAATATATAGAACAGGGAAAAAAATTCTTTAAAGGACATGAATCATAAAACCTGATTAAAAACATAGTTTTTAAAAAAAAAAAAAAAGACAGGAATGATTTAAAAAAAAAAAAAAAAAAAAAAATTGTACTGCATTTCTCGAGCCTCCCATACCGGCCATGACAGTAGAATCAATACTTTGATTTCAAAACAAATTAAACTGTCATTTGGTTATCAACACATCCACGCATGCGTGGACAAATCAACGAACAGTGGATAATCAAATAAAAGAGAGAACCAAATAACTATGAAAAAAAATAATAATAAGGAGAATATACGGATCAAAATGTTTGGATAAAAATCTGTAGTTAGAATTGCACGCAGCAAACTTGACTTCCATTGATTGATTTTAAAAAACCAAGGAAAGAAGTCAAAAAAAAAAGAAAGAAAAAAAAGGAAAATGGTACATGTATCAAAACAAGTGATTAGCGTCTGCCATATTTGAAATAACAACAAACGGATTGGATTTGCGACGAAAAGCCAGACATAATTCAGAATATTGAACAATATGCCAGTCAATCAGTAATTCTTTTGCTAGGATTTTTTCAGTATTTTTATTAGTCATGTTGGGTGATTTGTGTTTATTTCATGTTATATAATCTCCTGTGTAATCATTAAGGATTAATGCTACGAATCAGGCGGATTGATTCATGGAAGGATATAGATATTTGCATATCTATCTATCTATCTATCTATCTATCTATCTATCTATCTATCTATCTATCTATCTATCTATCTGTCTGTCTGTTGGTCTATCTATCTATCTATCTAACTATCTATCTATCTATATACATATGACAGTCCGTTCATATCTATCTATCTATCTATCTATCTATCTATCTCTATTCATATATACATGTCAGTCTATTCATATCTATCTATTTCACTCCATGCATTTCTATGTGTCTATCTCATTCAGTCCATCTCTCTCCCCCTCCCTCTCTCTCTTTGTATCTATATATCTATATCTATATATCTATATATGCCAATCCGTTCATATCTATGTGTCTATGTCGTCCAGTCCATCACTCTCTCTCTCTATATATATAGAGAGCTATCTATAACAGTCTGTTCATATCTATCTATCTATCTATCTATCTATCTATCTATCTATCTATCTATCTATATTCATACATGCATATGTCACTCTGTTCATATCTATCTATTTATGTCAGTCCGTGCATATCTATGTGTCTATCTCATTCAATCCATCTCTCTCTCTCCCTCTCTATCTATCTATCTATCTATCTATCTATCTATCTATCTATCTATCTATCTATCTATCTATCTATCTAATCTAGCTATCAATCATAGTCTGTCAGTCTCTCTATCTATCCCATTGGATCTATCTATCTATCTATCTATCTATCTATCTATCTATCTATCTATCTATCTATCTATCCACCTTCATATATACGTATGCCAGTCTGTTCATATTTATCTATGTCAGTTCGTGCATATCTATGTGTCTATCTCATTCAATCCATCTCTCTCTCCGTCTCTCTCTCTCTCTCTCTCTCTCTCTCTCTCTCTCTCTATCTATCTATCTATCTATCTATCTATCTATATGCCAATCCGTTCATGCCTATGTGTCTATGTCGTTCAGTTCATCATTCTCTCTCTGTCTCCTCTCTCTCTCTCTCTCTCTATATATATATATATATATATATATATATATATATATATCAGTCTGTTATTATCTATCTATCTATCTATCTATCTATCTATCTATCTATCTATCTATATTCATACATACATATGTCACTTTGTTCATATCTATGTCAGTCCGTGCATATCCATGTCTATCGCATTCAATCCATCTATCTCTCCTATCTATCTATCTATCTATCTATGTCAATCCGTTCATATCTATGTGTCTATCTCTTTCAGTCCATCTCTCTCTCTCTCTCTCTCTCTCTCTCTATCTATCTATCCGTCTATCTCAATCCGTTCATATCTATTTCTTTCCAGTCCATCTATCTATCTATCTCTCTCTCTCTCTATCTCTATCTATCTATCTATCTATCTATCTATCTATCTATCTATCAATCAATCTATCTATGTATCTAAACGTCTGGTTCCAGCAAATGAAGCACGGAAGAATCCTTCGCATCAATTTGGAGAACCGCACCACCAACAACGAGGCCCTCTCTTGTATGTCTCTCCTCAGAATCGAGGAAACCATCGTTCAACATCGCCTACACTAAGCAAGTCACGTGTCCAGAATGCGACCCACTCATATCTGAAGCCGTTCAATGAACCGACCATTAGATCGTATATAAGAGTTTCACTTAGGGTCTGGTATGAGCTTGAATTCCGATCATCCCTCAAGCCTGCCTAAGGCTCAGCCTTTGATCTGGGTGATGAAACATTACAAACTTGCTTTTGAAGGTGTCAGGTACTTTCTAAAGAGTTTTAGGGAACTGACCATTGGATTGTACCTACAAGTTCCACTTGCTGTCTCATGTGAGCTTGAGCCCGAATAGGCAAGGAACCTCTTTCTGATTGCAGTCGTTCATCATGACTGGCGAAAGCTCAGGCTCTGCTTTGGGATTGTTAAATATTACAAGCTTGATTTTGAAGATATTGAATATGTCAAGCCAATTGCTCCAATACTGATCAGTACAAACAAGGTCAGAGCAGAGATCAAACGGCTGCTAGTTACTAGCTATTGCTGCTTTGTTTTTCGTTGAGGGATTTCATAGTTTTCTTGTCGAGTCTTTCATTAGGTTCTTTTCCACCATCTTCATTAGTAAAAGTTCGCAATTCTCAGTGATTATTTCCATTCCTATGCATGGGATGAAGATTCTAACCGTTTCTCGGAAGGTTTCCAAATTTATAAAAAGATATTCACCGTCCAATTCATTTCATTATCGTCATCAATATTATATCTCTATGCCTTTTCTTTCTTTTTTTACTCCGATTTTCTTCATTTGGTTGATTCTCAGCCGATTCACCATCATCTTCTTCTACCAATTATTATTATTATAATTATTATTATTATTATTCACCTCTTCCTTTTTCTTCTTCTTTATCTTCATTTTCTACTTCTCCATCCTATTCACCATCATCTTCTTCTTCCCATTATTATTATTATTATTATTCCCTCTTTTCCTTTTTCTTCTTCTTTATCCCTCATCTTCTTCATTTTCTACTTCTCCATCCTATTCCCCATTATCATCTTCTTCCCATTATTATTATTATTATTATTATTATTATTATTATTATTATTCACCTCTGCCTTTTCCTTCTTCTTTATCCTCATCATCTTCATTTTCAACTTCTCCTTCCTATTCACCATCATCTTCTTCTTCCATTATTATTATTATTTATTATTATTATTATTATTATTATTATTATTATTATTATTATTATTATTATTCCTCTGCCTTTTCCTTCTTCTTTATCCTCATCTTCTTCATTTTCTACTTCTCATCCTATTCACCATCATCTTCTTCTTCCCATTATTATTATTATTATTATTATTATTATTATTATTATTCCTCTGCCTTTTCCTTCTTCTTCATCCTCATCTTTTCATTTTCTACTTCCATCCTATTCACCATCATCTTCTTCTTCCCATTATTATTATTATTATTATTATTATTATTATTATTATTATTCCCTCTGCCTTTTCCTTCTTCTTCTTTATCCTCATCTTCTTCATTTTCTACTTCCATCCTATTCACCATCATCTTCTTCTTCCCATTATTATTATTATTATTATTATTATTCCCTCTGCCTTTTCCTTCTTCTTCATCCTCATCTTCTTCATTTTCTTTTCTACTTCCATCCTATTCACCATCATCTTCTTTCTTCCCATTATTATTATTATTATTATTATTATTATTATTATTATTATTATTCCCTCTGCCTTTTCCTTCTTCTTTATCCTCTTCTTCATTTCTACTTCTCCATCCTATTCACCATCATCTTCTTCTTTATTATTATTATTATTATTATTATTATTATTATTATTATTATTATTATTCTGCCTTTTCCTTCTTCTTTATCCTTTTCTTCTTCATTTCTTTCTCCATCCTCATCATTCTTCATTTTATTATTATATTATTATTATTATTCTCCATCCTATTCACCATCTTCTTCATCTTCTACTTCTCCTCCCATTCATCTTCTTCTTCCCATTATTATTATTATTATTATTATTATTATTATTATTATTATTCACCTCTGCCTTTTCCTTCTTCTTTTCCTCATCTTCATTTTCTACTCCTCCAGCCAATTCAGCATTATCTTCTTTCCAATATTATACTGTTTACCATACGATCACTTAAGTTAAGCAACATCGAGCTTGGTCAGTACATAGATGGGTGGCCGCTAGTGAATACTGTAAGCTTGCTTGTGCTGTTGATCTAATGGATAAACAGCTCGTAATTGTTAATCAGGGAGCCGATCTCCAATTCCACCTGATTTCGTTATATTCACTAATGCGTAAATGCCCTTAAGAAAGATATGAATACACTTCTTCTCCCCTTTCTATGGGTTCATTAGTAAGACTTGTATAGCTAAAACCTTTATTAAAAAAATGAAAAAAAAAGATTAAATTGCGTCATTATATGATCCATAGAGATTGATACGTCGCTAAACAAAACAACCATTATTATTATTATTATTATTATTATTAACCTCTGCTGAAACTGTTACATATATTACATTATTTACTTCTGTAATATTTTCCAATGGTCTGTCCGTTAACAAGGTTGGCAATAAAGTGTTATATATTTACACACTTTGTTTATTGTACTTCTTTCAATTTGAAGAATCTGTATTTGGGGCTAACGCAAGTTTTCAGTGTTTTTGTTTGATAATTCCTAGTTAGCAAGCATTGCTCCTATGCAACAAGAATAAAACCTTCGGTTTCAGCCTTTAATCCTGCAATACGTAACCCCCGACGGATACGGAGTTTGCCTACATCCGCTTATCTTGATTTATCTTGCATTTGAACCGTTGCATTTGCTTTTGCCTTCTTTTCTACGTCCTTTGACGCTGGACTCAGCGGATTATAGCTTACCCGCTCTTCTTCATTCACTTGAAAAATAACATACATGGTAAAAGGACAAAGGTGGAAGCATAAGCGACACTTTAATCAGTTAAAACGGACATTCACTGATTTAGTAAGTCCACGAAAAGAGGTACCGTTGGAAATATTGTATGACATCTTTGACGTACACACGCCACCAGAAATTAGTGACAAAGGAGGTATATTAAATGAAAAAGAACAGCAGCGGGACATTTGAATACTGAACCGAAGCTGACGAAATATAGACTCCAGAGGAAGTCATCGCAAAGAGGAGGTGTTATAGGGAAATAAAGTGTCGCTGACGACATGTGTTTGAACATACATCACCAGTCAATAAACACAGGTAATATCATTACTGTACTAAGTAGATAACATGACTATAGAGGAAACACATATATAGAGGGCGTTTTAGATGTGTTCGCTATTCTAGTCTATCGTCTGTGTTCGCTCATCCTAGTTTATCCTCTATACTATACTGATCGTTATTTCTCTTCTATCTTTTATTAGTATTGAGACCGCTGTTGTCTACTCTATTCACTATACGAAGTACTATTATTACGAGTATTATTCAAAAGCGTCTGACATCAGTATTGTTCAACGGCGTTTTATAATTGGTATCTGCGATTAAAAAGTGTCCTACTACGTTAGCATTGACGAAGTGTCAAACAAGTGTACGTTGTCATAGACAAAAAGGCAACAAAGAGTCGTTTTGACAACACAACATTGCTCTTCTTCGTTCACTTAAAATCCCCTTCTTAATTTTTTGCTTTCATTCCAGCAAGGAAATATCAAATTAAACCGCATTCATCTCCTTGGTTCTCAACTACATGCACAGCCACTATAGCCCCCTGGAATCACTTCTTCCGGCTGTACCAGGGCAACACTTCTGATCGCAACAGATGTATCTTTGCCTTTGCTCGTAATGTGTGCAAGCGTGTTCTCAAAGCAACAAAGTTACCATTTGCTGACAGAATGAAATAAAGTATTAGGTTGGTGCAAAAATAATGACGTAAGAATGTCGTTTTTTGACGTTAAAAAATACGTCAAGAAACGACATTATTACGTCGTTATTTTTGCACCAACCTAATATATCTTCTCGCATGTTCGGTTCTAGAGATTATTGGTGAGTCTGCAAGAGTGTGCTGAACTATAGAAAATTCTCCGTCCCTCAACTATCCAATCAATCAATGCAGCCGATAAGATTTGAATACTTTGTCCGGAAAATCTCTTCCAACTCAATACTTGACACACTTGGAGTACCCAGAGTTGATTTCCCTCCCAGAACAGAAGCTCTGATATGTTTTGTGATGTCAACAAGCAACCGTTACCACTTTTGTGATGCCAACGAATATTCGTTGTCACTTTCGAAATGCTCGTTGTAGTAGAGACTTTGTAATCGCAGATACAACTATAGTACACCGTTGAACAATACTGGTGTCAGACGCCTTTGAATAACACTCGCACTAGTAGTACTTGCTCGATAATACTCGCTCGAACAGTAACCACCGTATAGTGATCCATATAGAGAAATAGTATAGCGAATAGAGTAGAGAATAGCGGTCCATATCGTAATAGAGGATAGACTAGAAATGGCGATCGTTTAGACGTCACGGTATTTTCTACTTATGGGTTTTCTTTTATCTTCACGTGGTCTGTTTAATTCAATAATGGGATCGCCTGTGTTTACTCACTGGCGATGCATGTGGTGTCAAGTGAGAAGCTTTGTCATTTTGATATCTATTTATTTAATATCAGCTATGGCCCAGTTGACGATTTTGAAACTGTATTGCACTACAGGGAGAGACAGTGTGTATGGCTGATATTCTGTTTTCTAAATCCACGGTGGAGTAACGGACAACGGCTCGGATTGAGGAATCGGAGAGCCGAGTTCGAATTCCACTCGAATTAGTTACATTAGTCACTGATGTGCTAATACACTTGGGAAAGGCATGAATCCTTTTCTTCTCCACCCACCCAGCTATGGGTAAATAATAGGACAAACCTGGTTCTGCAGACTTGAATGGCAACTGGTCTACCGCAGAAGGAAAAGGCAACCTAGCGCGGGAAAAAAATCTACCGCGTCAGTCATATATCGAAAGATACATGATCGCCTAAGTGTGTATTACTCATGGCACATAACTGACTAACTGACACTCTAATGTCGTTTGATTCATCTTCATCAGTGACAGAATTTAAATCCGGGCATTTATTTATGCCGCAGCGAGATTTTGTTTTCCGTTTTATTGCTGTCTTAGAGATCATAAATTTCGTATCTCATTTACTTTAGTTTGTATCTCATCTTCTGTCATATTATCTTTTTTTCATTCTTGCCTCATTTTTGTTTCGATTATGTCTGATTCTACATTGTCTTATATTTGGTTTTATCTTATTTGTTTCTGTATTTGAGAATCTTTTATTTCGCAAGATGTCTCTGCAGACATTGACGCAGGATCGAGAAATAATGTCTTATTTTAGTTCCTATTATATTTATCTACATTTGGTATGTATGATCGGTGATGTTCTTTTTTTTGAATTTCGATATATCTTCCATATTTCAAGGCCACGGTGAGTTTTATTTATGCCTTTATTATTATTATTATTATTATTATTATTATTATTATTACATAATTAATTTTATCGTTGGATATAATGTGCGGCATACGTCGGTCGTGATAGATCAAAAAGTTATGCTTCAGCTGCTGATGGTCGCGCAGCATTTGTTTTGGCTCGATAGAACCACATGGGAATGCCAGTCTTGAGGGCAACGAATGGATGGGAAGACGTTCACGCACCAATGTGGTCGTGTTCATCATCATCATCATCTTATTATTCTTATTATTATTGCCTACCTTTTCCTGCTTTATCCCCATCTTCTTCATTTTCTACTTCTCCATCCTATTCAACATCCTCTTCTTCTTCCCATTATTATTATTATTATTATTATTATTATTATTTTCTTTGATTTCTGGCGTTTACACATTTCTTTCCGGGTCCCGCCCAGGGACCTAAGGTTAGAAATGGCGTCATGACACTTTCCACTGACAAAAAAAAAAAAAATTTAATTACATAGATAAAGCCCTTCGTAAGGTGGGGGGTGTACTTGTCAGAACAATTTTTTGTATCTCCTTGAGGCATGGACTTCCAGGAATCCTTCAATTAGTCTACTGCAATCTTTTTCCAACCAGTCCTAGGGGTCTAACCACAACAAGGGATTGTTGATGTTCCCATATGCCACATTTTCGAGATTTTTATTTCAAGGTCCTTGTACTTCGACAACTTTTTGAATATCTTCAAAGATACATTGCAGTCAGCAGGGACTGCCATATCAATAAGGAGGCATCGTTTTTGTTTGTGGTCTTTAATAACAATATCTGGCCGGTTGGCCTTGATTGTTCTGTCAGTGTGTATTGTGTAATCCCATAGAATTGTAACAGGTCCTATCTCCGTAACCGGGTCTGGGTGGTGTTCATACCAGTTTCTTTCAGTTTTCTTCCCGTAGAAGTTGCAGATTTTCCAGTGCAGATATTGGCCCACTCTGTCAGTCGGGTTTTATATTCAGTGGGTGCCAACACCGTACAACCTGATACAAGATGATCAATCGTTTCTGGATATTTATCACAGAATCTGCATTTTGGGCTGACACAATATTTTAGTATATGTGCTTGATAATTCCTAGTTAGCAAGCATTGGTCCTGCGCAGCAAGGATAAAACCTTCAGTTTCCGCTTTCAACCCTGCACTACGTAGCCACTGATGGGTACGGGTTTTGTCTACGTCAGCTCGTTTGGTACGGGCAGAGTATTGGCCATGAAGCGATTTATCTTGCCATCGCTTCTGTAACTGGTCGGTTGCATTCGTCTTAGCTATCTTTTTTAGGTATTTTGCAGTTTCAGCCGGTGTATTGTGCTGTAGTTGCATCTCTACCACCATTTGGAACTCCATTTTGAATTTGTTGGCTTCCATCATTACGGAGTAGAGGCGCTTACTACTTTCATGTTCCTTGACGCATACCATCATCCAGTCTTCTGTAGTTTCCAAATATCTTTGGAGGCCAATTGTTGTAGTTTTGTAGGACAGTTCTAGTTGAACTAATCCTCTGCCTCCTTCGGATCTGGGCACATACAGACGGTCGACATCAGCTTTGGGATGATGCATGCGATAGAAAGTGAGTAGCTTTCTCGTTTTGGCATCCATTCGCTTAATTTCAGCTATGGCCCAGTTAAGGATATTAAAGCTGTATTGCACCACAGGGACAGCCAATGTGTTTATGGCTGATATCCTGTTTTCACTTCTCTATCGTATTCACCATCTTCTTCTCATCATCGTCATCAATATTATATCTCTATGCCCTTTTTCTTCTTCTTTACTCCGATTTACTTCATTTGGTTGATCCTCAGCCTATTCACTATCATCTTCTCCCAATTATTATTATTATTATTATTATTATTATTATTATTATTATTATTATTCCCCTCTGCCTTTTCCTTCTTCTTTATCCTCATCTTCTTCATTTTCTACTTCTCCATCCTATTCACCATCATCTTCTTCTTCCCATTATTATTATTATTATTATTATTATTATTATTATTATTATTCACTTCTGCCTTTTCCCCCTTCTTTATTCTCATCTTCTTCATTTTCTACTTCTTCATTCTATTCACCATCATCTATCTATCTATCTATCTATCTATTATTATTATTATTATTATTATTATTATTCACCTCTGCCTTTTCCTTCTTCTTTATCCTCATCTTCTTCATTTTCTACTTCTCCATCCTATTCACCATCATCTTCTTCTTCCCATTATTATTATTATTATTATTATTATTATTATTATTCACTTCTGCCTTTTCCCCCTTCTTTATTCTCATCTTCTTCATTTTCTACTTCTTCATTCTATTCACCATCATCTATCTATCTATCTATCTATCTATCTATCTATCTATCTATCTATCTATCTATTATTATTATTATTATTATTATTATTATTATTATTATTCACCTCTGCCTTTTCCTTCTTCTTTATCTACTTCTCCATCGTATTCACCATCATCTTTATCTTCTTCCTATTATTATTATTATTATTAATCTCTTTCTTTACCTGATTTTCCTTCATCTTAAATTTCTATTTCTTTATCTTATTCCGTATACTATTTTTCTCATACCTTAATAAACTCGATGTCTTTGCACTCCCCCCTTTGAGTAAAAAAAGCATTGTATTGCTATCATTAGTTTCTTTTAAAATAAATTAAACATTCGAATGTATTTCAACATCCATTTTTGATTTTCATCATATTTTAGAATATTGTTTCCTTTTCTTGTTAAAAAAAAAATAATTTTCTGAATCAATCATATTTAATGTCTCGTAAGAATCTTCGTCGAACACTCATCTAAAACGCAAGAAATAAACAAAACAAGAAATCAGTCGGTATCTGAAAGCCACCAATTTCGATTTCTCGATTCTTTATTTAATTATTTATATACTGAATTTTTTTTATTTTTATTTTTGAAGGACAGTAAGGATTTATTTTATTTATTTTTATCGCGAAGAAATGGTTGATTGCGGAGTCATCGTCGTGCATCATGGGAAGAGTCCGACGGCCGAGTGACATTAATGGCTGTGTTGTCTGTGCCACTGAGTGATCCGGTCCACGTGGGACGGTCAGAAATCCGAGTGTCCATCGATAACTGTCGGTGTAGAATTGTCAAGAGAGAGCCAAAGATCGATAGGAGATGCGAGGAATGCCGACATTATCAACGAACAGATTACCACCCGCCCTCTCACCGACAGGATATCGCAGTTTCGTTAATCCTTAGAATTGGAAAATACAATGTCGGTGCGTGTGTGCGACGAGGAGTGGGGGCGGGGGAGATTTATTGAAGTTTTAAGAGAGAAAAGAGAGAAAGAAAAGAGTGAAATATATGTAAAAATTTATAAAGACATGAATAGAGGAGGTAAAATAAACGAGGAAAATTTAAAAAAGGCAATCTGAGAAGAAAAAACGGAAGTAATTTAAAAAAAAAAGAAAGAAAGAAGGAAATAAATAAAGAAAGAAATTCATGAACAGAGAAGAACAAAACGATGAAAGTTAAAAAGAAGGAAAACGGAGAAGAAAAGAGAAGTGATTTTAAAAAGAAAGAAAGAAACAAACAAACAAACGAACAAACAAGTAAACAAAGAAATAAAGAAAAGAAAGAAAGAAAGAAAGAAAGAAAGAAAGAAAAAAGAAAATATTATTTCTAGAGATGAATAAAGAGGGAGAATAAAAAATAGTCAATGTAGAAAAAAGAAAAGAATTATATCTGAAGGAAAATGAAAAAAAAAACAACAAAGAAAGAAAAGTCATGAACATTGAAGATGAACTAAAGATGATGAAAAGTAAAAAAAAAAAACAGAGAAGGAAAAAGAAATAATTTTAAAAAGAAAGAAACAAGCAAAAAACAAAGAAAGAAAGAAAGAAAGAAAGAAAACGACATTTCTTCAGAAGATAAAGAGTAGAAAAAAACATAACGTGAAAAAAGAGGGAAAATTGTGTATAAAGAATTAAATAAAGAAAGAAAAAAGAAAGAAGGAAGGAAGGAAAGCTGACAGCATTTCGTGAGAAGAGAAAAAAGGAGTAAAACAAAGAGGATTAAAGTAAAAATAGAGAAAGATTTATGATGAAGAAAGAAAGAAAGAACGAAAGAATGAATGAGTAAAAAGAAAGAAAGAATAAGAGAATGAATAAATGAAAGAAAGAAAAGTCATGAAGATAGAAGAACAACAGACGATAATGAAAATTAAGAAAAAAGAACAACTGAGAGGGAAAGAGAAATAATTTATAAAAAGAAAGAAAAAAAGAAACAAACAACAAAAAAAAAACAAAAAAAACTGTTGTTCGAAAAGGAGAAGAAAAAAGAAAAAATGGAATAAGAGAAATCAGGGAAACTGTGGTCGAAGAAAGAAAGAAAGAAAGAAAGAAAGAAAGAAAGAAAGAAAGAAAGAAAGAAAGAAAGAAAGAAGGCGAAGCAGTAAAAATAGACATAATCCTAGTGAAAACTAGTGAAAAAGAGAAAGATTTGTGACCGAAGAGAAAGAAAGAAAGAAAGAAATAAAGAAAGAAAGAACGGTATTAATTGAAAAACTTAACAAATTTAATGAATGAATAAGAAAATAAATACTATGATCTGAGAAAGAGAATGAAAGAAACAAAAGAGAAGTAGAAAAAGAAGAGGATTACTGTGATCGTAGAAAGAAAGAAAGAAAGAAAGAAAGAAAGAAGAAAGAAAGAAAGAAAGCTTTTGTCTAAAATCTGATAAAGTAAATGAAAACAAAAATGAAAGCTGTAAATGAAAAACAAAAGGCTGGTTGTAACGAATAAAAGAAAGAAAGAAAGAAAGAAAGAAAGAAAGAAAGAAAGAAAGAAAGAAAGAAAGAAAGAAAGAACAAGGAAGAAGAAAGAAAATAGATCAGATGATACCGCTGGGAAGAAAGAAAGAAAGAAAGAAAGAAAGAAAGAAAGAAAGAAAGAAATCGAGAAAGAAAGAAAGCAAGAAAAAGAAATTTTGAGAAATTTTAGATGAATGAAAGAAGTGAAAAAGATGAGTAGGTTTGTAACTAAAAAAAGAAAATACGAACGATATGATTTTTGATGCAAAGAGAGAAAAAAATCTAGTTTTATCTGAAAAAGCGAAAAAGGGCAAAGAAAAGGAAGAACAAATAAATAAATTTGATAAAAGAGAAAAAAAAAAAAACGAAAAAAAGGAATTTTGCGGACTTGTGATAAGGGAAAGAAGGTGTTACAACTTACGTGGGTCTCGTATGTGCCTTTAAAAAAGTTCAATAAAAAAGTGAAACTAATTTCAGAAATGAAGTGACAAGAAATAAATAGAAAATGAAATAACATTAAAAAACAAATCGTGATGCCAAAAAGAAAGAAATACGACCGAAATGGAAAGAAGAATACCGCGAAAAAGAAGAAAAAAAAAAGAATCTTCTAAAAAAAGTGAAAAAAGAGGCTATGATCAATGAAGAATTGGATAGAGAAAGGAAAACTTAAATTCTAAAAAGACAATGCAAACAGAATAAAAGGAACTGTCAAGTAAAAATTAAAAGAGAGAGAGAAAAAGAGAGAGGGGTGCGGGAGGGAGGGAGAGAAAGAGAGAGACAAGCAAAAAAAAACAACGCGAATAATTAACGTGTAAGAAATTAACCTGGGATATCTATGACGTAATTTTATTCGTCTCATTGTGCGTTCAATGACTACTTCTTCTCTACACGAGGAGATGACAAGAGACGAAATCCAGAAATGCCCTTGGGACGGGTGGATTCTGCGCTTATCTCAAAACATAACAAAATAAAACAAATCCCCCCCCCGCAAAAAAAAGAAAAGAAAAAAAAAACAAAAAAACGTCAGGAGCAAATTCCTTCCTTAATACTAAGCAATGTACTTCATATAAACACAATCTTTTGACAGTATCAAATTTTAATTCAAACTCCTATATTCATTAATCCCTCGACTGAAAAAGAATATTACTAACTACGGCATATAATAATAATAATAATAATAATAATAATAATAATAATAATAATAATAAAGGAAACCAAAAAATTCAGAAGGGAACTTAAAGTGCAAATAAACCATAATAGTCCTACTGACATTCAGTAATTTGATTTGACAAAAGGTAGTCATAGATGTTTAATCAAATGATTTAAAAAGTCATAGGCATAACACGTGACTAATTCTGTGATCATTTGAACACAAGTCTGGAATCAAGTGACCAAACAAGTACACGTTACGGGACTAATGTGGATTTGTCTAGGGAATAATCATATCTAACAAAATATAAGCAAATTTAAAAAAAAATATTGTTCTCTCCACTTAATAATATTTTCTTTTTCTCATATTCTCCTACATTCAGTAAACTCTTGCGTCTTGGTGGCTTTATTGCCTTAGTGGCTATATTGCCTTGCTTGCGTTGAAATTATTAAAAAATTACAAGACACGAATCAAGTGACCCAAAAAATCATCACTTCACAGTTGAAATGGCTAGATGTAAACGTAAGTTCTATGTTAACAGTTTCTTCTCCCGCACATCTCGCTTGTGGAAGTCTCTTCCATCCCCATGCTTTCTGTCTAATTTTGATCTTCAAAATTTAAATTTAAATCGTTATCTACTGTCTTCCTAATTACACTTCTATCGTTCTATCTACTGTCTTCTCAATTACTCTCTTCTTAATTACACTATCTATCTACTGTCTTTTTAATTACACTCTCGTTCTATCTACTGTCTTCCTAATTACACTTCTCTCGTTCTATCTTCTGTCTTCTTAATTACACTTCTATTCTATCTACTGTCTTCTTAATTACACTTCTCTCGTTCTTACTGTCTTCTTAATTACACTTCTATCGTTCGTCTTCTTAATTACACTCGTTCTATCTTCTGTCTTCTTAATTACATCTTCTATCTACTGTTTAATTACACTATCGTTCTATCTATCGTCTTCTTAATTACACTTCTCTCGTTCTATCTACTGTCTTCTTTAATTCTATCGTTCTATCTTCTGTCTTCTTAATTACTATCGTTCTATCTACTGTCTTCTTAATTACTTCTCTCGTTCTATCTACTGTCTTCCCTAATTACACTTCTCTCGTTCTATCTTCTGTCTTCTTAATTACACTTCTCTCGTTCTATCTACTGTCTTCTTAATTACACTTCTATCGTTCTATCTTCTGTCTTCCTAATTACACTTCTATCGTTCTATCTACTGTCTTCTTAATTACACTTCTATCGTTCTATCTACTGTCTTCTTAATTACACTTCTCTCGTTCTATCTACTGTCTTCTTAATTACACTTCTATCGTTCTATCTTCTGTCTTCTTAATTACACTTCTATCGTTCTATCTACTGTCTTCTTAATTACACTTCTATCGTTCTATCTACTGTCTTCTTAATCTACCGTCTTCTCTTAATTACACTTCATCGTTCTATCTTCTGTCTTCTTAATTACACTTCTTCGTTCTATTACTGTCTTCTTAATTACTTCTATCGTTTCTATCTTCTGTCTTCCTAATTACACTTCTCTCGTTCTATCTACTGTCTTAATTACACTTCTATCGTTCTATCTTCTGTCTTCCTAATTACACTTCTGTTCTATCCTGTCTTCTTAATTACACTTCTATCGTTCTATCTTCTGTCTTCTTAATCGTTCTATCTACTGTCTTCTTAATTACACTTCTATCGTTCTCTTCTGTCTTCCTAATTACACTTCTTTAATATCGTCTCTATCTATCGTTCTATCTACTGTCTTAATTACACTTCTATCGTTCTATCTTCTGTCTTCTTAATTACACTTCTATCGTTCTTCTCTGTCGTTCTATCTACTGTCTTCCTAATTACACTTCTATCGTTCTATCTACTGTCTTCTTAATTACACTTCTATCGTTCTATCTTCTGTCTTCTTAATTACGCTTCTCTCGTTCTATCTACTGTCTTCTTAATTACACTTCTATCGAATACTGTTTCTCTTTTTCTTTCACACTCAGTAACCCCTTGTATTTTAGTGACTTTACTGCCTTGCATAGTGTGAATTGATTAAAAAAATACATATCTTTTTCCTGATAGTAATCTACACTCATTAACCCCATGCGTCTTAGTGATTTGATTGACTTGCTTTGAGTGAAATGATTAAAAAAATTACAAGTCGCGAATCAAGTAACCAATCAAGTACACGTTAAGGCGTCAATATGGTTTCTATATATATGAAAAAAAACAAGTAAATATTTCACGCAGTATTGAAGCCCATGGGTTATTCAGAGGAATACGTTTGTTATTGCTTTTAGAGCATCCAGTTTGTTAAAGCACCCGGTGCACTGTGCTACGAACTCCATTATTGGAAGTAGTCAAACGATTTGAAATAAGGAAGCAATGTCTCATGTCCGAGCTTTTTTCCCCAGTCCTGGGTATGACGATAAACTACATCTGGTAGCAAGGCCTCTGATCGGGAGATTGGAGGTTTGAGAAGCCTGGAACTTTCTCTTATTTGCTGTTGTTCCCGGGTCCATCCTGAAACAGGGTGATAACACCTGGTAGATTTCCAGCTATTGGCAGATGGTGAACCCCTAACCCAACAAAAACATTATGAAAGCATAAAAGATATATGTTAATAGTAAAAATACCAGCAATATATTTTTATATTAAAAAGACCGACAGTACATAACCAGCAATATATTCTATCTGTACAAATTGCGTCCAAAATAAATTCAGTTGAACCCATAAAATTGTGTTCAAATTATTGAATTGTAATCCAAAATATAACTTAAAAGAAAACACACATATCATCGCCTCTAGTAATTATATCCACACAAACATGTATATGCACAAAATCTGAGTATCATCTACCATGTATTCAATTGTGAAAGCAGAATAACATATATTTTTATTACTTCAGAGTTCCCAATAAAATTAGATTTTGGTGTTAAATGACGCATAGGGAGTTGATATGCACAAAAGCTGAGTATCATCTATCATGCATTCAAAGCAGAATCACATATATATTATTTCAAAGCTTCCTCCAAAATTATCAGCATTAAATGACCCACAAGGAGTTGATACGCCGTTAAACAAATCAGCTGTTAACTACCATTTGTTTCCCTCTTCAGTCTCTACCTGAAATAACCATGGGGACTTATATTACAACGAGGAAGACAAAGCAAAGAAATCGTAACATAGGGAAGGTTACTGAATAGAATAATCAAACGAAGGTTGGTAATGAAAAATAATACTTAAAACAAGAACAACACATATAAGATTCGTCAACGGCGCGTAGAAGTAGTAGTCAACTGCAAGAAGTGAGTCAAGTGAATTCCACAATGAACTTCCAACTGCAAGATATCTACCCACCGCCCCACGCGGTCAGATGTAGCACAAGGCCGAATTTAATGTGTGGTATCCGAGCCCGTAGGCTTAGCCAAAAATTCCCCGGAGATCCCGTATAAAACGGGGTCGGATAGCTGTTTCCCGAGAAGAGAATCTGGCCTTCGACATATCCTTGTCTGGCAATCCTCTCTGTCAGGAGACAGAATTTAACCAGCACAGTTGGAGACGAATACCCAACTGCAGGATATCTACCAACCGCCCCACGCGGTCAGATGTGGCCCAAGGCCAAATTTAATCTGGTGTATCTGAGCCCATAGACTTGGCCAAAAATTCCTCGGAGACCCCGTATAAAACTGAGTTGGGTAGCTGTTTCCCGAGACAAGATTCTGTCCTTCGACATAGCCTCATCTGGGGACCCTCTCTGTCCGGAGGAAGAGAGTTTGACCAGCACAGCAGACCAACATACAGTATTTACTACTGTATTTATGTGAATGGGGACATACACATTGTCGTCCGTAGGTATGCTACAACAGAAATACTTCACAGCGGAAAGACAAGAATTTTTTTATAATAAATATTTGCCTTCGTTGCGAAACGGTAAGTCAAGAATATAAAAAAAAGATTTTGTTTCGATGCTGTAAAATACAAATATCTACTGGCGTACTTTCAGTTCGATTTGAAAGAATCCTAGTCATTCTTAAAAGAAATGACTTATGATCGATATATTGATGGTTGGTCGCTCCTATCCGAGTATGCCTGTCTACTCGGTTGGATAGCCAATCCCCGTTGCAGACGCCTGCTCAGGCTCATTAGTTTGTTCAACACCTACAAAGCCTACCTGTGGTTTTTGCTGCAACCATGCTGAGAGAACCTTAGTTACAGTTTCTGGGATAGAGCGTGTTATCTGAACAAAGGCAGTACACTCAAATCCTCGGTCACGATGACTTGTGACCTTGTGCTAGCACAACCACCGATGGTTCCTAAATAATTTCGTCTACGCAATTGCACCTGCAAGGTTTGGATCAACCCGTAGAATGGTTTTCAGCCACTTACGTGGATTAATTGTCGATGATTCCAGTGGGAACGATATAAGATACGCAGATGAAACTGTGTTGATGCCAGACACTACAAGAAAATAACAGGATCCCCTAAACAAAAGAAAGTAAAGGGTAAAGAAAAGACTAAATATCAACTGTAAGAATAAAGAATATTTTAATTGTTGTGGCCTGTTTAGGGGCCAGAAGACACGGAAGACGATTGTGGGTTGAACAAGTGTATTGAAATAACAGATATATACAAAGCAGGTGTGTTAGTAATAAGCATATAGAAGTATCCGTCCAAACGATCAGGTTACACTGCGTCTCGGCTG